AAAAAAAAAAAAACTGGCCCGAACAAAAACATCATCCAAAGAAATAAAAAAACTGCCCCGAACAAAAACATCCAAAGAAATAAAAAAAACTGGCCCGAACAAAAACATCCAAAGAAATAAAAAAGTGCCCCGAACAAAAACATCATCCAAAGAAATACTTTCTCAAATCTACCACCTACATTACTGATATCTACGGTAGTCTCTTGGACTGTTCTGCTGGAAAGCATAGGTCTTCTGGTATCAGGTTGGTTCAAAAACATCAGAAAGCGCTTTTGAAAACTTCTAATGAAATGATGAATAGCTTATATGGAGGAAAAACGGCCACGTAACGAAAAAACTAAGGGGGGGCAGTTACACACCGAACAGAATTCCCTGTTCGGCATCCCAGAAAATACGCACGCATGTAGCATGGAGTGAAGTCACAAAGGGAACATCACCCGAATCGCACAACTTCAGTTTCGTACCCTGTTCTCTCAAAACAAGAAATAGACTTTTGAGAGAGGAAAGATCTGCACCGCATCAATCAATCCCTCCCCGTCTGTTTGTGCAACTACACTGTAGCACTGAAGCCAAGGCAATCACCACTCTCGTTTCACGAAGCAAACGGCTAGTGGCATCAACAATAAAACTGACGCCCCACAGTGTGAAAAGAAAATGTGAAAAAGCGAAGGAACAAAAAGAAATGCTGAAGGAGTTCCATCTCTCTCTCTCTCTCTCTCTCTCTCTCTCTCTCTCTCTCAAGCAACAGAACTCATTCGTCTCTTAGCGACTGATGTCCCACCTCCTCTGTCATTGCTGACCGAAGTTGAGTTTGGCTTGATCTGCAACATCAATCAGCATCATCCAGATCAGATAAAGAAACGACACAACTCAACAAAACACCACCAGCGACAGCGACAACAACGATGCCAAACAGGAGATAAACTTTGACTGACCTCCTGTGTAGCCAACTCTATCTAAGAGGTGGACAGCCATTTCATCAACACAGGAAATTACCCCTGAGACCTGACAACGCATTCAAGGTTCACTGCGCAGCCTTACCTCCAACAAAATAAGGTACCACAGGTGGAGCGAGAAGTGAGAGAGAGAGAGAGAGGGGAGTAAACAGGAAGCCTTCCCTATTTGGGACACAGATGCTTTGCGTAGGAGGGGATTGCTATCATTTTGACTGAATCCGGTCGAATTTTGTGGAGGGGTACATCAGCATGGATAATGATAATGTTATGTGCTGCTGAATCGGACAGAGATGTTTTGGGCAGCCGCAGCATTTAAAAGCAGCAGTACAGACGCAAGAGCATGGTTCCCTGCAAAAGGGTACACAATTGACACAAGCACCCCTCCGAGCGACTAGGTACAGATGATTGAAAGTGCAGCTTCCCCCTCCCCCCCCCCCCCCCCCCCCCCCCCCCAACCCACTGCACTGCAACCAGAATCCCTGAGTTCTTTTCGTGGTTAAAATCATGATCCTGTACATCCGGGCCTGAGATACCTAGGTCCCGGATACCCGGTAGGTAGCCTATAACGATAACAATTATATAACACGAGGAAAAAAGGTAGACGAGATGGACGATGATGATGATGATTTGATGATTGAGGAATCAGGATGAAAAAGAAAGAAGAACCTCATCAGTTCATGTGTTCAAACTTCAACGCCATTTGCTTCTTCGAATGCTACTAGAAAAGCAATCAGAAAGAAAACACGGACCGAGCCGACATGCACACATGTGCTGCACGCCGAGCTAAAAAATACAGATCTTCGCAGGTGGAATGGTGCCGTCTATCCTCTTCCCATCTGGTCAGAGTACAGACAAAGAAGCAAGACGGGCTTCATCTCTTGGCATCATTTAAACCACTAGTACCTCCGCCAGTGTTGGGAAAGTAGGGAAAAGTGGATGTTTTCCCATTTTCCCCGAAGAGTTCGGAGGTACCACAGGCTCGGCATCAGTTGTGTTTCCCATTACCAAAAAAAAAAAAAAAGAGAAGAAAAGAAAAAAAGGAAGGACATCGGGGAAGGCCGTGAAGGAGATGTGCTCACATCAGAACTCAAAGGAACGCATCTACCCAGAAACATAGCCAGTTTCGTTTTTTGTATGTGTTTTGCTTTCTTTTTCTGGTGATCCGCGTTTAGTGCCCTGCCAACGAGAGGCAAGGCGCATTCCACGGGCAGCTGACACTTTGCAACGGGGGGCGCATTCTCACTCGTACTCCAGATTATGTATCTAGCTGCTTTCACGTCCAAAGTGTTGTTGCTTTTTTGTTTTCTTTTTCTTTCTTTTTTTTCTGCTGTCGTGATTACAGAAGGGCTGCAATGGCCGTTGGGAGGGCATACTGTCACAGGTACTCCAGATTCTGTATCTAGCTGCTTTCACGTCCAAAGAGTTGTTGCTGAATTTTTGCTTTTTTTTCTTTTGTTTGTTCCTGCTGCAGTGATTTCATCAGAGCTGTAACGCCCCTTGAAGGTGCATACTCTCTCTCACATGTACCCCAGAATCTGCATCCGGCTGCTTTCACGTCCCTAGCGTAGTTGGTTTTTTTAATTTATTTTTTTTTGTTCTTTTTTTTTTTTCCGATTTCCGAAGAGAAGCATAAAAGAAAACACAATGGGACCCAGGCTCGGCAACTTTCGGTGCGCAGTGAAATTCAGGGTTGGCAAAAACAGGCTGGGAGGTACTAGTGGTTTAACCAATCTATGTAGCCAGACAAATTGCCGTCGCATAAGGTTACCACCATACATTACCACAACGAAATGGCTGGCAAGTAGTCGATGAAAATGGAGGAAGGGACCAAAAGCTGGGTCTCAAATGCTTGCCGAATCACTGATGGGAAGGGGAGGAAAGGACAAAAGATGGGCCTCAACTGCCAGGCAAATCGTTGATGGGAAAGGGAGAAAAGGACAAAAGTCGGGCCCCATATCCCAAAAATTGAAGACATTAATGATCCACCTCAACCACGAGGCGTAGCGCACAATTGTCTCCCCCGAGCAGATGCATGACACTGGAGATATGAGTTCGACGAAGGCATGGCGACTGGAAAAATGCCACGGTACAGAATTGCTGGCTGTCCTTGAGTGCAGTTGCTAGCACGAGATGAACAGCAACGAGCCCACAGGATGATGATCATCACAATGGATGTAGATCTTTATATACAGACACTACCATTTGCAGGCCTATACATATCATACTTGTGGCGCACCAGTGCCATGCCCCTTGCGCTGGGTGCGTGTCGCTCAGTGCACGTCGCGCTGTGTGCGGATCTGTGATGCATGAGCACCAGTGCACACCAGGCACAACAAGCGCACATACACAGCGCGCTGTGCGAAGCTCTGCTTCACTGGTGCGCATGCACTTTTTTCCTGTGTGTGTGTAAAGCGTATACATCCGTGGTCACAACATGCCTTTGTGGAAGGCCGCAAATTTCAACAAGGGCACATTGTGACCTTGAAGTTCAAACGTTTCCAAGCGAGTCTCGCCATGGCTGTATTCGACTTGAAAATTCGCTTGAATAATAGGCTACCAGAGTGGCCCGGGGTCACTTGCCCGGCCAGGCCAAAAAAAATAAAAAACATTAAAATAAAAAATATATTTTTTTTAAGTATTTTTTATTTTAAATTTGGTGAAGAATTTCGATCTGACCCTGAGGCAAAAGTTGTTCAGTTTATTTTTCTGCATCACATAGCTTTTTTTTCCGATTTTTTGGATTTTTTTATTTTTTATTTTTTTTGCTGGGACCTTCCTTGGTCCTTGCACGGGCTGGCCACCCGGGACCCGGGCGGCCCGGCTGGTAGCCTGGCTTGAATACATTCGAGAGCACAATGAATACGCCCTCCATCGCAGGTTCGTGATTTCACGATCCATGAACTTCAATCAAGGGCACAACGCATCAAAGCTAGTTTTCAAGGGCACAACGCATCAAAGCTAGTTTTCACAACCCATACAGTTGTGACGAGCGGTGTACGGAAGTTCGACTGTTGCAGGCAGAGAAGATTCGGGTCGAGTAGAAAAGAATAAACCAAACAAAAAAGAAACTACCTCTACGACAGCAGCACGTCCCCTCATCATTGCTATATCTGCGGTTAAACGTGGCTCATATACCACAAGAAGGGGGGGGGGGGG